TCATTAACTTTGAGGTCTATAAGGATTCTGGCTACTTCAAGATAGTATTCATCATGTACTGATATCAATTAGAGGACTACTGGGAACCTGGGAGCATTGAATAGCTGTTTCGTCGCATTATGGGACTCCTCAGAAGTACATGGTCGATTGAAAACTTAAAGAAGTAAGGGGACTATGATCTAGTGGATGGACGGTCACCGCATTCGCGACGAGATTTGAATGTCATTATTTCAATCCCAGGTGGAATTATAGATGGACACTGCTAAGGACACCCGTAATATGACGAAATAGCTGTCCAATACTCTCAGGTTTCCAATGGTTCTCCGACTAATTTCAACCAGTTATGAAAACCACCATGCAATAAAATCAACACCATTTGTATACAGGTGTAGATTCAAACTTTATCATATTATGTATCTAAATATCTACACATGATGTAATATTGAACTCTACCAAGTGTATAATTTACAAGTTGAATCCTTTATCCATCGAAAGTATTCCAGTGTTACCTATTATATATATTAGAATGGACTATTGAACGACAACCCTAAGCTCCACCCCTATGGGTTGCTCATTTCTCCAAAAACAGTTAAGAAGCAGTAAGGTGGGAAAAGGTTCATTGTCAAGCCGTAACATGCACTGAAAGTAACGAGGTTACTATACTTTCAACGTCTTTAATGTTTTCTACACCTTTTTAGAAAGATATTTAGCCAATCTAAATCTCCTACGTATGATCATGTGGTTGTCCAAGAATGTTCAGAATGCTGTACTTGATTGTGAAAGCTTTCAAAGGATTCCGAACTTTTTTAAGTAATCTAAGGTATACTGCAAGAATATGAAGTTTTCAAATTTAAAGTGGTTTTAGTTCCTACTTTTTCTTTCTTGATGTCCCCTGTGAAATATCATTGACCACTGGCTCCTTTAGTGATGGTGGATATTAGCTAGCAGAAGAATGCTGGACTTGAGTTTCAGCCTACCGAAGACTTATCGCTAGGATGCACCCCTATCTGTAGAACAGTTTTTCTTAACCATGGTACTCTATGATTTTTCCCAACTTTTCACATACACTTTAGGAGCAATATACGTCTTAAAAAAGCAGTTTCACCTCTAAATCCTTATGACCTGAGATTTTATGAATTAATATTCTGTTATTAACCTTGTCAAACTCTCAAAGAAGGGCTGGATACCTGACAGGGAATCATACTCATGTCCCCCCCCCCAAGCAAAATATTAAGCCACATCATCCTGGAAAGACTACAAAATGCTCTGAATTAAACATTACGACCGGAACGGGCTGGCTTCAAGAAGAACAAATCATATGCGGAACAAATTGCAACGTTACGCTACGCATTATCATAGAAGAGAGCATAGAATGTCAGTCAACGCTCTACCTCAACTTCATCGACTTTGGAAAGGCCTTCGATAACGTTCACTGAGAAGTAATTTATCAGGCAGCTGTTTCAATACTGCGCTTTTAGTGCCACAAACCTTTTTGACCTCATCTAACAGCAGTTGTATGATGCTACATGCCAAGTGATTCACGATGGAAAGCTCAGCTCAGTGATACCTTTGAAGTGAAGACAAGAGTAAGACAAGGTTGCCTATTATCACCGATCATCTTCCTGATTGTGGTCAACTCAAATGGACTGAACTGGATCACGCAAAAAACTGTGAGGACCTACGAGAAGATGGACATACGCTGACTGAACCAATGAGAAGACCCTAGAATAAGATTTGGATTTCGCCAACGATGACGATTTATGTCTATTGTCTTATGTCGCACAAACTCGAAGATCTACAGGCAAAAACTAACAAGTTAACAGAAGAGACAGGACTTCGAGTGGATGTAGAGAAGACAGAGGCAGAGGTGATGAAGATACCCAACCAACAACAACAACCACAACAAGCGCCAATCACGATGAACGGGGGAAATCTAAAGGAAGTTGTATCCTTCACCTACCTACCTACCTGGACAGCATCGTTTCAACTACGGGTGGTGGCGGCACAGACGAGGATGTCAAAGCGGCTAGGATCGAAAAGACACCAAGACAGGCCTTCCTGAATTAATCTGAAATCATTGTGGAGATCTACTGCACTGCACTGCACTCAGTATAACGTGTCAACAACATCTGGATTTTCAATACTCATGTCAGTCAAGTAAGTCAGTGCTTCTATGTGATGGTTGAGAGGCTGGGCGCGTTACCAAAAGCATTTTCAACAAACTACAAACGTACATCAACAGCTGCCGCCCATGCTCACTCCATTCTTAAGATCAGATTGCCAGGGTAATATGAATAAGCGACAAGGAACTCTGGCTGATCTCACAACGAACCAACCAAGAAGCTATTGCCCAACTAATATGGAGAAGAAAGTGGAGATGGATTGGATTGGACACAGAGTGAGAAGACGATTTGGAGACATCACGCGCCAGACCAGACCCTCAAGTGCAACCTGCATGGGAAACGACGAGTTAGGTGTCCGATGGTGACATTGAAGAGATTGTGTGAGGAAGAAATGAAAGTTTGTGAGCAGTCGTGGAGTCAGGTTAGGAGCAGTGCAGAGAAGAGACTGCAACAGAGACGTGCTACTGAAGCCCTATAGTTCCATTACGAACCCAAAGGATAAATAATAATAACAATACTGTTATTACCATTTGCTGACAACAAATACGTGCAAAAATTCATGCAAAAAGTGGAATCGAACTGTATTCTTCCCCGAGTAGTGTAGCCTTTTCTTCATGATACTTAGTAGTGGCTGAGACTGAGATTTATGACAAGTTTTTCATTCTCATAAAGATTCATCACATGGATTTCCCCTCGTCGCACTGGTGATCTTTCAACCGAAACTCAACATCTTTACCAAGTATTATAAACAGGATCAGACCAGGCATTGTTCATTCAACTAGGGAGACATAGAAATCCTCAATTAAACTTCTTTAATGCTGAATTTACAAAGATGGAACTCATCACCCTGTATTGGCATATTTGTGCTCTCATGAATCATCGGTTCTATTGCTTTTCATCAACAAGAGAATAATATTGGAATAAAACTCATGAATATTTTGGTTTTCTAGGTCGTCTCCAGTTTCTTAGATTGATTAAACACCACACATCATGCAATCAACTTCCAATTAGGTGCAGATTTATGGAAATGGTGTACGCAACAGGTCATACATTCCTACTAACGGAAAAGGTCCAAAAATTCCAGGTATCCACCCTTATCTCCTTAGCTGGAAGAACATCGAGTGCCCGCCTTGAGTTATCCTGCTTGTTACTCAGCTAGTATTATCTCTCCTCCAGTCACGGTTAGGTGATGGCACCTAGCCATTCCATCCCTACTTTCCACGTGGTTAGCAGACAGGTGCCCACATTCCAAAAGTAATTGGTGACTACTTCCGGAGACCATGTCCCCACCCAAAAGGGAGTGCTAAAAACTTTATCGTTTCTAGTGTTCAATAGCAGCTACTAATGCAGTCACGAGGGTATCTAGTGACCAAGTCAACGCCTAATGCCATCGTTGGATAGATATCTGAAGTCGGATCAACCCTAGTGCGTTGGTCACTGGTCGACGAAATCTCTGTACGGATGCAAAATGCTTGGTTGGCTTTGTCAATCTACGCCATCTATGACACCGCCGCGATATACGACTGTCTATTCAGGGTAGAGTGTACTGTGCTACAGTTCTCTCTGTTCTCTTCTATGGCTGTGAAACATGGGAATTAAAGGGACGGGAAATGAGAAGGCTTCAAGTGTTTGACCACCTCTGTCTACGCAGCATTGGTCGTGTTTTGTGGTGTCACTACGTGGATAACGCAAAGTCAGACGTAGAATTTTAGGCAGGAGAAGTAAAACAGTTGGTGCGGTTGTGAACCTTCATCGACTGAGATGGCTGTTAGCGTAAAGTATGCCCAGTCACTATCTCCCTTATCAGAGAATGTTGGCCGAAGTATGTTCAGGCTGGAAAAAGGATCGGGGCGGCCAGACTAAAACCTAGCATCAAAGCATGAAGTTCTTGACTGCCCTTTGTTGTCTTGTAGGGTAATGCAAACTAGCCATTTGGGGTCCTTGGAACAAGAACAACTAGTGCTCGAAGACTATAGGTGATATGCCTCAGATTCATATACAGGTTGTCGCCGTCTTAGTCGATATACTTGGCCTCAAAATCTACTGGTTTTTCCTTCCACTCTTTAATTAATTTCTATCCATACCCCTAACACCGTCAACAAATCTTTAATTCCTCCTTCGTCTTCCAACCTAGTAAGCATTCAAATTATGTGGTGAAATTAGCCTAGGCAACCTCGACTGTTTCGCAGTAATACTCGGTACAAGCTGACCTTGATGATGATGATGATGATGATGATGATGATGATGATGATGATGATGATGATGATGATGATGATGATGATGATGATGATGATGATGATGATGATGATGATGATGATGATGATGATGATGATGATGATGATGATGATGATGATGATGATGATGATGATGATGATGATGATGATGATGATGATGATGATGATGATGATGATGATGATGATGATGATGATGATGATGATGATGATGATGATGATGATGATGATGATGATGATGATGATGATGATGATGATGATGATGATGATGATGATGATGATGATGATGATGATGATGATGATGATGATGATGATGATGATGATGATGATGATGATGATGATGATGATGATGATGATGATGATGATGATGATGATGATGATGATGATGATGATGATGATGATGATGATGATGATGATGATGATGATGATGATGATGATGATGATGATGATGATGATGATGATGATGATGATGATGATGATGATGATGATGATGATGATGATGATGATGATGATGATGATGATGATGATGATGATGATGATGATGATGATGATGATGATGATGATGATGATGATGATGATGATGATGATGATGATGATGATGATGATGATGATGATGATGATGATGATGATGATGATGATGATGATGATGATGATGATGATGATGATGATGATGATGATGATGATGATGATGATGATGATGATGATGATGATGATGATGATGATGATGATGATGATGATGATGATGATGATGATGATGATGATGATGATGATGATGATGATGATGATGATGATGATGATGATGATGATGATGATGATGATGATGATGATGATGATGATGATGATGATGATGATGATGATGATGATGATGATGATGATGATGATGATGATGATGATGATGATGATGATGATGATGATGATGATGATGATGATGATGATGATGATGATGATGATGATGATGATGATGATGATGATGATGATGATGATGATGATGATGATGATGATGATGATGATGATGATGATGATGATGATGATGATGATGATGATGATGATGATGATGATGATGATGATGATGATGATGATGATGATGATGATGATGATGATGATGATGATGATGATGATGATGATGATGATGATGATGATGATGATGATGATGATGATGATGATGATGATGATGATGATGATGATGATGATGATGATGATGATGATGATGATGATGATGATGATGATGATGATGATGATGATGATGATGATGATGATGATGATGATGATGATGATGATGATGATGATGATGATGATGATGATGATGATGATGATGATGATGATGATGATGATGATGATGATGATGATGATGATGATGATGATGATGATGATGATGATGATGATGATGATGATGATGATGATGATGATGATGATGATGATGATGATGATGATGATGATGATGATGATGATGATGATGATGATGATGATGATGATGATGATGATGATGATGATGATGATGATGATGATGATGATGATGATGATGATGATGATGATGATGATGATGATGATGATGATGATGATGATGATGATGATGATGATGATGATGATGATGATGATGATGATGTAGTTATGCATGTATGGGGGACTTTCCTTGAGGTACACTGGAATGAATCCCAGAGCTACCCAGATGCAGTGGTAAAAATAAGTTTCATTTGCATGAATAATAGATAAAAATATTTCTGTATACATTTTTTTTCATGAGAATGTTGTCCAGAATAGCGGTGCATTTGATTTATGCATATTTCGAAAGAATATCATCGGTTTATGAATTATCGGTAACTGTTGTGTTAGAGTTTACAAATAAATATTTTCTGATGAATATGCATATTTTAATCTGAAAAGAAATTTCTTACAATAAGTATGATATGAACAATAAATTTGAATTATTCTCTTTTAAAATTTCCCTGAAAATATACTGAATTGATGATAAGTCACCAATGACAAATTATACTGTGTTAAATTACTGAAAATACCGTCAGCTGTTTCTTGTAATATCTAAAATCTTTTTTTCGTTAATCATCAATTTTATTTTTGGCTTTCTGTATCTCACAAGACCACCACACCTTTAAACAAAATTGAACATTGCTAACAAACAACTAAGAAGCTAGACATTAGGTGTATTCTAGTATATCTAGTTCTTTTACTCCAACTAATAAATCAGAGTAAAGGCAAGTTGAAGACAAAAAAATCTGTTCTGAACATGTTGATTAATCTATTTGAATAAATAATAATGTTGGGCATATTTTTAGAAGTTGTTTAGTACGGCTGAAGAGAGTTGAATAATAAGTCACTCAGGAATCTTGGAGTTGTGTTTCAAGGATATCTTGATAATTTTCAACTCTGTTGAACTTACTGTTATCGAACATTCATGAGAAATTTTTACATTTAGTGAGGTGACTATGTAAACAGAAATAATAAATAATTTTTTTCAAAAGAATATTATTTTTTCTGTATATAAATAATGATACAAAGCAACAGTTTTTGTGTTACACTAATCGGTACAGATAAACAGGGCATAGAATAAATTAATCAAAGGCATGATATGGGCCTTCTGGGTTTTAAGCTGCTATTAGATAACATCACTACTGATCTGATGGCAGTGTGGTTCATTGATCCGGGCATTTGATTCCCAACCGTTAGGTCAAGAGTTCGAACTCAGCTCTATCTTCTCAGATTTGAGCAGTCACACTACCGCACGGTTCACGTTGACAATTTCTCACCCCTCAGTAGTTTTTCAAATCCCACCCAACTATGCTGTCAATATGGTTTCCGTCGGAAACCGCCAGCTAGCCAAGATCACAAGGTGTGTCGTCTTTAGTGAGAGATACTACTACTAAACAATTTCAGTAGTTAGAAAGCAGTCAAGCTTATCTGTAAATTATTTGTACATTGATCATTCTATTTTATATGTATACCGGTCGATACAAGTCAGACAGCCAGACAAATTCAGATGATCTGAACTAATTCGTCTGAGTACACCGTCGATGAACTCCCCCCCTCCAAAAAAACTAGCGAAACAGTCATCTTAGTGGCCAAACCTAAAGATCACCCAGAGTGGATCCTAACTACTCAAATTATTCACTAGTAGTATCTTCATGTATTTGAAGTTTTCATACCTTCCTCATGATATTTTTGCATTTTGTCACACTTTTCAAGGACATTACAAACCTAGGTATTATGAATAAACGCAATGTGTTACGTCAATTAGAGGGGATGAGTAATCTCCGCGTCTTACAATATCGATTAAAAGACGTTACAATGTAGCCACATGAAATTGTAATGAAAATGACTGACCTTAAATGGCCACCCTAACAACTGCCAAAATAACCAATCAGGTTTCGGCATTTTGCCTGGGAAGACAGTTTCTCATAAAATAGAGAAATGTAATTGGATATTTCAGCAGTTGCTAGGCTGACGTTTAAAGTCAACCTTGAAAATAAAGTGTCTCAGATCTTGCCATCATCCGTGTATATGTGTATGTTTGAGCCAACCATGTCTAGACAAGTTAGACAGACGTTGCGTCATAATACTAGTGCTAACTTAAGACATGATTCTGGTTACTACGTCCCCGTGTAAATAAGCCTATTTCAGAAAACTGGAACAACTTAAGTCACCTGATTAGCACCATTATGTATATCAAGCTTAGGTGATAATAAAATACAGTGACTTTAAGGTCAACCTTACCAATCACTGAGACAACCAATCAATTTTGTTTATTTTCGGTGGGAAAGTTGTACTTTCGTAAGATGGAGAAAATTAATTGGTTATGCTAACCGTTGTTAAGGTGACCTTTGGAGTCATTCATAGGATAACCTCGATGTTTTACAACTGTGAGTTGGGTTACGTTACGCGTTGACTGTTGTATGGGTGTTTTCTTTACGTCTGTTTTCTAGTGTCTTTAGCGTACATCATGCATTGGCTATTGAACCACAGTCTGCGTTACACATTTGATGATTCAATATAGAAGGTCAATTTGACAGGTGTAAAAGGGTGATTTCACTGGATATCGTGTCCCTCTTCAAAAAATGTTCCACTGACAGAAACCATCTGCTTCATATATGAATTCATTCAGTGTCATAACATAAATGTTGGAATTTCAATTTACTACCTAAAAAAGCTCCTACGATATACCTTCAATGTACACTTCATATTTAATAATGAAATCTACAGAGTTATAAACGGTGTGGCACTGGGATCACAACTACAACCTCTCTTAGCTGACTGCTTCAATGATAAGCCTGGAAAACACCAACAGTCGATGGACTTCATGTCTACAAAAGATACATTGATGATACCTTTATAGTTTGCGATAAAAATATGAATCTTGCAAACCTGCTTCATACTTTCGATAAGGCCCACCCTACAATCAGATTCACTCTAGAATCAGAACCAAAGTTAACGAGTCATTTTCTTTATGTTCGACTCGAAAGAAAAGACAATTATTCACTTCGTAGATCAATCTACAGAAAGCCTATGTGGAACGGACAGCTTATTAATTTTCAAAGTTTGATCTCTCTAAGTATGAAGAGAAATCTTATCCATTCATTTTCCACGAGGATCAGGAAAATATACACCGAGGACACTGTTGATGGAGAACTGCAAATACTTCGACGAACTTTAGCTGAAAACGGTTTCTCGCTCAGATTCATAGATAAGAACCGAAAGCCAAATAACTCAACTGAACGAAGATATTTGGAGCTGAAAAAGATTCTTTTGTTGAATCTTGGACTCAAAAATGATATTGTTGCAGAGATCCTGACTAAACGACTGTCAAAATTCTTAAATAGAACATACTTCGCCGCCAACCTACGGATTATTTTCTCCTGTAAGAAACGTTTTGGTCAATGGGTGAAAAACAGGTTGACGCATTGGGCCACATCAATGTGTGTATACCAGTTTACTTTCTCTTGTAGAGCTGAGTACATCGGCCATTCCATGTGTCAGCTTATAAAACGTGCCCGCGAACGCTACCCAGCCTGGCTGGCGAGAGCAGAAGGGGAATGTATCTTCAGTTCAATAACACAACACCTCATGAACTCAGGCAACTTATGTCCTTTTTAGAATTCATTCAAGGTTTCGATCAAACCACTGGAAAGGAGTAAGATCATGACATTTGTCTATAGCCGAGGCACTAGCCATCTAGAAGTTCAAACCAGAGTTATGAGTCCAGAAAAGGTACGTCCAACCTTTATCTTTGTCATGGCCACCATAAAGCCTTGACTGTCATAGATTTAAGCAGCATTACGTAATTACAATTTTATTTTCATAATTGTTTGTTCATTTTCTTACTCTGCCATACATTCATCCCGTATTGCATAATTTTACTTAATTTCATAATCCCTGAGCTATTTTCCCAATCTAAGCCCAAATGTGTATCAATTAATTTCCTTTAGGTATTCAATATATTTTGCCTCCTAACCAGAAATAATTTTGGAATGTTCTGCCCACTGTAACATATATTCACGAATGTACAGCTTAGTAAATAACCCTACCGAAAAGAAAATTTTTCTTCACTGTAACCACGTCTTGTTTTTTCATTGTATTGCCTGTTAGCAGATTTTCATCTAGCCTTGATGAAGAGAGGGATCACACCGAAGATTATGCGTAAGTTTGGTTGTGGCAGTCTATCTAACCAGCAATAATAATTTGGAAGCAAAGAAAAAGAAAAGTGAGAATGAGTAAGGTGGCTTGTAGAGTCACTTCTGATTCGAATTACTTTAGATCATTATCGAAATCTTTTCCGCTAAAGGGATAAAGTGAGTTTTTTGTGGTATAGACTTTTTCGCAACTGATCACATTTATTATTTGCATACGTACAAACAAGCAAACGAATCAATTTATCCAAATTAACTACTTTCCCTACATCGCCTTACCATTTTCATCAACAATTGTAGTGAAAATGAGGCACATTTGAATTTTTATTCTTGTTAAACTATAAGATAACGCGAAGAGAATAGATAGAAAGGGGAAATGACCCAATTTTCGGACAGTAGACTCGCTCACCTCTTAGGCATACATAAACAGACTCTGTACGTCTATGCGTATATACAGACATGTGCACATGCGTATGACAAATCATATACTAATAGCAATAATAATGATAGTGAGAATGCTTAGTCGAAATGAAAAGTGTGGTCATCTCATCCAATGTCACCTAAACAACACTCACCTCGTTGTCCTACTAGCCGACATTTTTAACTAAAAACCCAGTTCTAAGGCCAATAGGGTCAGTAATTTCTCTACTTGTTCTCCCTTGACGGTATGGCAAATCTAATCAGTAGAGCTGAGGTGGTAGTAAGTAGTAGTCATCGTCGATTTGCACACATCACTTTGGTTCGATTGCTATTGTGCTACACTGTGGCTTCAATGAATGCGTCAATTCGAAAGTCTGTTTAAATGTGTTCATATATATATATATATATATATATATATATATATATATATATATATAATGTGTGTGTTTGTTTGTTTGTTTATGCAAAGGAATCAGAAATGAGGGTGTGGTTAGCCCATCCAACTATATTTCAGTCTTTTGGTTTGTCTACCGTATGCGCATATTCTGAACGT